TTGATATTGCCATTCGGGCTTTTACTTCTACCTCCAACCTGTCTCATGCTCTTTACACGAGTGAATGATTTGACAAGAGGTTCGATGCTGATTCATCGGTGGGGGAGTTGGGAGACGGAATCATGACATGTCATGCCTCTCAGCATTTCCCTCTTTTTCTCCCCATCACCCCTCCAAGCTGATGTCTCCCGTCACCAATAGAATACATGGTATGATCAACATTTCGGGATCGTTTTCTTCCTAATGTTACGATGGAACCTATGGGCTCTTCGGAACTATCTCCCTCAAAGTTGTTCCTATGGTCTTGTAGTCCTGTTGTTGAGCTTTTCTGCCAGCTCCAGAGGCATTTTCTTTTCGCTATCTTTTGTAACCAAAACATCTTCTGTTTTGAACTAAGAGAATCGTCTACTTTCTTCGAAATGATTTTCTGAGTATGGTTCAATTTTGTTGAATGGCATCGATTGCGATGCACCTAGCAACTACGTGCATTTCATCAATCTTGCATCTTCAAAGGAGAAAATGCAAAGGAGATTCGACGTCGCAATGGGAAATGAGCTACCACCGGAATCCGAGCCTCGTTGGTTTTGCAATTCATTTGGACATTTGCCATAAAATAACGTTCTCCTGTTAAAAGTGACACTGCAAATATTCACTGGGATTCTCATATGGTATTCCATTTATGGGCATGCTGAGTAGAGAATTTATTTCTGAGCCACTTTCGGTATTCCTCATGTCCTCGGTCACCTCATTCATACGTAACCGATCGGTTGGGTTCGTAAAAGAACTCCTTTAATGATATTAATAGTTAGCACCAATAGTTTTTTTCCGCTTTGTCTACTCTCGAACTTGCGAGACGATAACATTCCCCCTCTGGAGTCTCGCTGTATGGTCTAAGAAAACATAATGAGGATAATCGAGGAGCATATTTCGCAGATGTTCTTCTCAGATTGTGCTTCCATACAGCCTGTGTGCCTCGGTCGAGGAATGAATTTTTCGAAAGCAAAGGGTATCTCCCCTCGAGGTTTCGCAATCGAAAATCAGTTGAAGACGTTAGATTCCGAACCGATTTCATCCCAGAGTGTAAATTCAGCGACATGCTTCTGTTGGACGATTCAGATTCCATCTGTATATTATCGAAAGTTCTCAAAAACCCCTGGAATATCTACGATGAAAACCCGAAAACGTGGATCCGGGTTCTGGACTCGACACACACCTGTGGCCATACCGACGCGTTCCACCTTCCTTCCCTGTGAAGCCACACACACTTGTGTCGACTGTGCAGCTGTGACCGCATTCGAAGCTAGCTGTGGCAGCAGTTGCCGTAGCCATCAGCCGACGCCGAAAACGTGGGAGGCCGGGCTCGACTCGACCGGGTATAAACGAGGGGCCTGCCCTCGGGTCGACGCAGGATTCCGCGAACTCACGGCGACCCCGTCCGCCTTGCCATGAAGTTCCTCACCGCGGTGAGTTCCTCTCTCGTCTTTCCTGCATCATCCGATGGGATGCCGATTCACTTTGATGGGGCGACCCGGAGGTTCGACGAGTAACGACACGGTTCCTATTCTGCAGTTCCTGACGTTCGCGACGATGCTGGTGGCCGCGTTGCAAGAAGAACTCGTCCAAACGGTTTGTGCCTCCTCGTTCTAGAAAAGAGACTCCAGACACAGGGAAAGGGAAAAAAAGGACATCGCATGATACATTTTAGTCAACTGATGAATATGGAAATGTTTTCTTGTTTTTCTTTGTTCTCGCGTTGCTTTCGTTTCCACTACTCGTGCTTTTCAACATCTGCGCTAAGGTCTCTCGTCAACCATTCGTGTCGATGCTGCTGAAAATCGTAGCAACCATTTCACCTTTTCTCACTTTTACACCAATACCCGCAGCTGACCGGGCGCGGTTCGTTCTCGTCGCAGAGAGCCGGAAACTGCCCCAGCCCGCCTCTCCTCGGCGGGTACATCGGCACTTCAAACTGCTATCCGAGTTCGCCGATCTCGAGCTGCGGCTCCGTGCCGGACTACGGCGTCTCCGCGGCGGAGAAGGACCAGATCGTGTATTACTTTAACTACTTGAGGGCATGGGTTGCCTCCGGCAAGGAAACGCGGGGAAGTCCCGGACCTCAGCCGACAGCCTCCAACATGCGACGCATGGTATCGTCGATTCACCTTCTTCCCTTTCATCCCTGTCCCGTTGCGATCGAGTTGCTTACGTCCCGTTCCGGTTGAAAATCGTTGCATGATAGAAAACGTGCTATCGAAACTCGACTTTTCATCGAAATGCCGCCGGGATACCTGCTAAAGAATATCACCCTCAGCCTCCACCCCGAAAAGATCCAAACGAACTCGGAAACCTGGGTTCTTTTTCCAGGTGTGGGACGAGCGCCTGGCAGCGACGGCGCAGGGCTGGGCGAACAACTGCCAATTCGGCCACGACCGAAACGAGTGTCGCAACTACGGCAGTACGTTTCCCTCTCGAAAGTGCCCCCGCTTCGCCTTCACCCCTCACCGAGACTTTTCCCTCGCCCTCCCTCCCAGCTTCCTTCAAAGCAGCGGGCCAGAACATGGCCTGGAGTTGGGGGACCGGGGCCAAGGATTGGTGGGCGACCATCTTAAGCTGGTATAACGAGGTTACCAGCTTCGATTCCAGGAGCGTATCGCGATACTCGTATGTCCCTCTCGCTGTTTTCGCCAAGTAGGCAGTTTCTGAGATCTCTTCGTCTGGACTCTTGCAAAGCGCAGTCGTTCTTTTCATTTGGAACGAAAACGAGGACCTAAGAACACGATCGATCGTTTCGACGATCGATCGTTTGATCGGTGATCGATCGTTTCGACGTGCCAGGGGTGACAGTAACCTTCTTTCTTTTGGGTATGTGTCGCCCTCGCCGAAAGAGGAACAGAGAAANACCAATAGAATGCATGGTATGATCAACATTTCGGGATCGTTTTCTTCCTAATGTTACGATGGGACCCATGGGCTCTTCGGAACTATATCCCTCAAAGTAGTTCCTACGGTCTTGTAGTCCTGTTGTTGAGCTTTTCTGCCAGCTCCAGAGGCATTTTCTTTTCGCTATCTTTTGTTCGAATGGGAACTGATAATGGTTCATTTGATCCGAAAGTAACTACAGCAGAAAATTAAACTCAGGAATTTAGCGATGGACTGATGAACCGATATCATACGAGAGGAGTTCGAGATCCAATGGCACTTTATTTAAGTTAGTCTATTTTAAAATTAGTTCCCCTTTTCCCCATGTACACTTCTCCCATCGGTGGGGTAGAGCTTATCCGCCTTTGGCATCAAAGTCTTCAGGTTGGCATTGGAGCAACCGGAGGACACGATTGCGAACCTCTTCACATGTCTCGAATTTCTGGTAGCTCTTTCGCGCGATTTTGAAACATGTCACATGAACGGTACGCCG